CTGCTCCAGCAGGGACATCCATAACAGGCCCACTTGCTGCCAACACTGAAGAGCTTACTCTCACAGAGGTACAACCCCATTATTAAAGATGTCAATATCACTGAACTCCCACTGAAAATAAACCCTGGTCCACACAAACCCTAGCTCTCATGCAAAGATCAAACATGGCTGCTGGATGCATAAATCCTTTCTGAAAACACCCATGAGGGTTCTAAGTTCCTTGGATGCTGTAAATTTTCTATCTGAGGAATGACTGCAGGCTTAGATCCTTCGGTGTAGCACAATGTGAGTGGTGGGTTTGGGAGACTTCTGGCTAGCGGCTATTACTTCATGGTTTGTCACAATTTTGTTACTTTACATTTCAACTGCTGGCTAGAAAAGAAAGCTTGTTGAAATCTTAGAAATGAACAGGAAAAAAAAGTAAGGAAAATCAAAACTGAATTCTCACCTGTGAATGGATTTTCCATCTCAATTTCTCATTTTGCTACTTAGAGACATGTCAAAGAAATATTTGCTGATGGATATATCTGTTCAGCTCTGGGGAAATGGTGCTATTTGTATTTGTATGGAGACAATCACTTTATTCGAGCTAAATGTCACTGTACATGCATTGTTTTTCAAGTCATCATTTGTTTCTTGCTGCTATTCTGTCAGGAGGCTGATGTCGATAGGGTTTATTTGATCTCCACATGACTTGATTTTGTATATAGCTGTTCTGCAATTCATAATGGCCCAAATGAAGATATTAGGCAGACTAAAATTTAGTGCATAAAGAACACTGAAGCTCGATCTGAGACCCTCTGAAATCAATAGAAGTTTCTACTGCAAGCAAAAGATTTGAGATGAAGCCTTAGGGAATATATGCCCAATTTCTGGCTGATGAATTAAGGGAGATGACTCACACAATGGCTTCAGACTTCCTTTGGAAGGAAAACTGGGTGTGACTGAACAAGTAGTTTTATCACAGCAGAAGGCAACTGTAGAAAAACATCTCTTGATGGTGAAAGCATTGGGCTAGAGGCATGGGACTGCCAGTGGGACTGGGCTGCAAGTATGGGGTTTCAAACCAGCCAGCATCCTCACTGCAAATGAGGATGTGGGAGAAATTGATTACTGATGCCTCATGTGGTGCGCAACACCCAACAGGTCAAGGGTGGGCTCCTGCTTAATATGGCATTGCTGCAGTGGAAGTTCTCACAGTTACGGGAAATGGCCCTGAAACCTTGTGAGAAGGCAGGTTTTCATCATATTTGCCAAGCACAGTGCAGCAGAGGTTGGGTTTCCTACACTGGAGCACTGTGGCAAAGGCTGCACGTTTACGGAATAGAGTTATACAGAAGCAGCAGAACTTACTGCTTTTGTTTCTGAACTTTGCTATTGGTGGTGGAAGCAATGGAAACTGACAGACCAGTGCTAGACACTCGCTGAGCTAACAGCACACGTGGATGATTTTTCGGTTACCCCTATAGTACAGTGACAGTTGTGATACTGCAGCTAAGTTCTTCAGGGTCCTGGCATAACTGGAAAGATGAAGCTTTCACACAAAGTAATACTTTTTCTCTGACACAATTACTATACCTACAACCAAACTAGCATGCTCTATTTTGTCCATTGCCTGGGACAATTCAGCCATATCTTTGCTTTTGGAAACTTTTCTAAGCTCAAGTAGCTGGCACTACAACTACGTGTCTGGAGCAATTACCATGTAAATACAAGATAAGTAAAACATAGCATTATGAAACTGACTGAGCATCAAGCATTTCAGACAAGTCATTATATGAATTAGTGGTAATTAGCCATCAAAACCCATAAGTACAATATAATTAACCCACAAATACAATATAAATACAGACTAATTATGAAAGTTCATACACTGTAAAGATTGAGCTGTCTTTTAACAGGTGTAATAAAATGTGAAGAGCCAAACTCCTCTGCAAGTAACTTATATTATAACAGCAGATGTTTGTGTGTTTGCTGGAGAGGGAGAAAAACAGACAGGAAGGACCATATTCATCTCTAATTCTCAGGGAAGTGCCCTGGGAAGTCAAACATTTTTCAGGTATGTACTTTATACCCCATACTTTCATTTCCCCTGTTTGGTAGATTGCTTATACTGAGTACAAACGACTGTGGGTACACTCAAAACATCCTATGACTACTAACACATCATGCCCTCTCTGTTAAACAGAACAGTCCTCAGGTAGTGCTTGTCCTTCCTTGGTAGGGTTCTGCTGCAGCAGCTAATAGGCATAATGAATACGAAGTCTTAATATTGTTCTATCAAGGGAAGGGTCAGACACAATCAACACCCTTCCCCCCCCCGAAAAAAATCAACTAGGATCCCCTCTACTGCTCCCCCCCTTGTGCCTGCCTCAGTGACAGAAGACTGATTTTAAAGGCAGGATGCATTTCTTACCTACTGTGTGCATTTCAAATCTGTTTTTCTCATTAAAAACAATATTAAATTCTGGAATAAACCAGAGTGCTTTAATTATCACCACAAGCAAAGCCTTGATTTACTCTGCCTCAGAAAATGAAGGAGGTGATGAGGAGGTAGAGGATGACAAGCGTATGTCTCATTCACATTACCAAATACCTACTTCAGGAAGCTACATATACATGCTTGGGTAGAACTGTACACATGCAATTACCATGAAAATGTATAAACAATATTCCTCAAAAACTTAGTGAGGGTTGGATTTTTGCCTTCCAGTCACAAACACCACAACTGTGAGAACTAGGAAAGAGTTCAGTCTTGCTTGGTCTGGGACTGGTTTCTGGCAACTGGTTAGGAATGAGCAGTCTGCCTGTCCGGGCCTCTATATCATCAGGCCAGGGTAACAAGTGAGTCTTACAGGATTTGGCTGTCTAGTATCATGACCTAGACGTCCAAACCACCACCAAATCATATATGAAGATTATATATGAATTATATATGAAGAAATTGTTTATGAAGATATATACGAAGAGAAACATCTGATGCTTAGCAAGGAGCAGGAGCGTTCCTCAACACTCACAGTATCACTGAGGTGAATGACTGCTCTGAGAGTTGTGACTGGGTGCAGAACAGAACCAGGATTTCATTTTAAAGATTGACAAGCTAAGCTGCAGAGAGGTGAAGTGCCTTCTGCAGTCACACAAAGAGCTCCTGGAAGAGCTAAACCAAAGGCCAGGTTTTGTGCTTCCACTGCTCTAGCTCATGATTATCAGCATTCAGGAGGTCTGGCCAGTGAGAGCTATAGCAACAAGCATGCAGTGAACAATTTTGGTCCCAGCATTAAGGTCACTGCTGGGCTTTATAATGGGCATATAGAATACTTCCTACCATTACCTCCTGCCAACCTTTAGCAAGATCTGTCTTAAACCTCTAGTCCGAGCATGCTCCCTAATCTCCTTCAGGAGTCAAAGACAAGACAGCTTCTCTAGACGGCAATTTATCCTTACTGCCTTCCATTATTTCTGAGCTGTGCAAGTGCCTGCACCGGGTGGGAGAAACAAAGCTTCTCCCCTATCAGCAAAGCAGCAGGAGCTGATAGTCCTCTTGCTCAGACTTGAAACAAGTTGCATGTAAGCTGATACATGGGAATTCTCAGCTCATGAGGGAAATGAAAGTAGCTTCAGAGGGTGAGAGCTGAGCAACAGGAAATGAGACCTGGCCCACAGTAACAACCTTCATCATCAGATGTTGACTCTTGCCCCTTAACAGTACCATTGCCTTGGACAGCACAGCACAGAAGTGCTAAGTCAGAAAGCTTGAAAAGCAAAAACGGTCTTCAGCCTACACACCTGCTCTGTGTCAGTATGCCAGAACCATTAGTTCTGACCTCAAATCCCAGTACTAATGTACACAGTGAAAGATTAATAATGGAAAAATCCAAAGGGAGTAACATTGTAGCATAATTTTAACACTGCATTTCTTTTCCTTTTGTTTCTTTTTTCTTTTTTTAACCACAAACTTCATGTATCCATTTCTCTTTGTGTAGATGTGGTCTGCATTTGTGAAATGCAACCAGAAAACACCTCTTGTGGTTATTGCTGTGTTGTGACATTACAAGCAAAAGCTCTATGAAGCTTTGACTTGTAAGGGAAACTCTTTGTCCTATCACTTTTGACATCTTTGCTGCCAAAGACCGATGACACACAAGCAAACATGTCTACAGTTATGGAACACAAAACATCATTCCTCTACTTAAGAGGATTAATGAAACTTTCAGGTATCTTCAGAGACGCTGGTTTCATTTAGTCTCATTCAGTGACTGCCAGACAATGCAGGTAATGCACAAGAGTGCATTATAGTGACTACCACTACAAATGAGAAAATGTAATTGCAAGATTATCTCATTTGCAGGGCATAGTAGCTCCAGGAACTCACTACTAAAACACAATATCCCCCAAATTGGTCCAACAATCACTGACAACTGACTCAAGATCAGACTCTAGAAAGTGGATTGAAGCCCTCATTCCTTCCCCTCTCAACCCCAAGTTTCTTATGTGTATTTAGAAAAAAATCCAACTTAAATTCTGTAATATGTCCTTCTCAGTTTTCACTTTCCATACCAAGCCCAAAAGCATCAGAAGGAAACAAGACCCTGCTGTGATCTAGGAGCCAATAATCAAATCTGCAAGTGAGAAAACATGCTTCTGATAGGGGTGTGGAGCACAATGTGATGCTATGTGGTGGCTATCCCCCATTCTCCTTTAATTTTTTTGTAGCATTCTTGGTGGCGTCTCAGCTGCTCACTTTCCCAGGAATGATACATGAGGATCATCATAATTCCACATGATCCCTCACACTGCACAACATGCTTGCAGGTAGATAACCTGTATTTGATGCTTGTTAAAGGCAGCTGAATTAAATGAACTCTGGAGGCCAAACTTACAAGACTGTGATAAGAAAATGAGAAGAAAATACATGCATCATCCCACCCCATACTAATTTAAAAAGGAAATCCTTATCTACATTGTAAAGTTTTATAGAAATACCTGAAAACCAGAAATACCTGAAAATCAAGGTAAATTGATGATAGCAGCACCGGTACCACACCTCTTCTAATTGCAGTCCACTAACAGAAGCAAGAGAAAATGTGGCAAGAAGTCACATCTCACCATTCTGGGGGAGACTTGGGGATCCCTGCTTTGGCACTAAGCCCCTTCTTGGGGCATGGGCAGCAGAATGGATTGCCAGGGTAGTGAATCACTCCCAAACTACAAAATGGGACAGGAGGATATGTCTGGACCTGTGCTCCAACATGCTGTGCAGCTCAACCACTCCCCAAGTTCTTGCCCCAAAGGCGGTCACTTGTTCTTTGTGGGGACAGTCAGCCTCAGGGATACCTCCTGCCTCTCCCCACTGTGGCTTCAGATGCTCAGTATGTGCTGAAGGAATTGTGGAATGCTCTGAAGGCATCATACCACTCTGTTGGTACCAAGGTGCTGGTGACACATGGACTCCTCAGCTTGGGGAGCATCTCTCAGTGCCCCACGAGTTGTGAAAGTGAAGCTGAAGTACCTCGGATGGATGTAGGTTGCTGTAGCAAATTGTATACACTGAAATACAAACGACAGTTTAATATGTTCTATTAATATATGAGGCCTTGTAATCAAATTAATTTATTGCTGGTTTCTGCACCATAGAGGGGCAGAAAATCCTGTGCTTCTGGTCCTTTCCATGGGTTTTGGTAGAATATACATCCGAGTAGGAGTTACCAGGAGGAATTCATTCTGGAGTCTATCCCAGCCTTCAATGAGGTGAATGGAATTGCCTTTTTCCCACCATGCTTTGTCCCATTCAAACACAGCCGTGTACCTGCAGGCTGTCTCACGGAGATGAGAACTGCAGAAGGTGATGAGCAGTGGAGAAGGAGCTAGAGGCTTTACTCCTCGTCCTCTTGTGTCACACTGGCACTACTTGGCCCTTTTTAAAAAAATACCCAATCCAAAATGGTGTTGTTTTGTGGACAGTCCATCATCAGCTCTTCCTCTCAAAGACAATGTGAGAGGTATTCCATATGACCAAGTAGACTGATCTGTTTCTCATCTAGCACCACTTGTGGAGAGGATTATCTCCCATGGACTGCTGCCTCAATGCTGTCCGTGTCCTTGGGCTGGTGGAGTCACTGCCAGCTTCACCCATTGCTGGGCAAACATACCCTTGTCCACAGCAGGACAAGGAGGGAATTCAGATGGTTATTGGCATGAGTTTCACGTCTCCTGCAGCAGCTGCAAGCAGGAACATAGTGCTGCTCCTCACATTCCTCTGCAGCCGGGATGTGGAGACACTCACCTCTGATGGATGGCTACTTTTGGATGAGCTTGCTAATGGCTTGAGTTCTGTCATTCTTGAAGCTGATCTTTGAGATTCCTGAAAGACCCCATTAACACTGCATTAGAATCCTGATGACTTTCACTCTCTGAAATATTTAATTACTTAATTTTTTAGAAACATATCAGAATACTTTCCGAGCCAAATATGACCTCACGGTCTCCAGTGAGAGGGGCTGACCTTGAGCACCTGCAGTGGGCTGTTGCAGCCTTGCTTTTCTCTTCACACACACTCTCCCTACAGCACTCAGCCTTGAACCTCCAGAAAAAGGTGTTATTGAGGAAAGCAACTTGCTAAGTGGTTTTCTTTTTTATGATTTATCCAAGTGCCTGTTTGCTCCCACACGCTGTGAGTGGATAATAGCAGTTCTCAATCAAAGTTAAAATCACTAATGCTCTTGTCTGCGGAAAATTTAGTGCAGCTACAAAAAAAAAGGTTAATGATGCTGCTATACTACTGATCTTACTATGGCTTGTCATATCTTCATCCCTGCACCCTTGTGCAGCATTATTATATTGGCTGTTTATTCCAGTCCAGATCTCTGCTGAAACTGGTAATGAGACAACTGTGTCAGATATTCTGCTATCATGGGAGAACTAGTGTTAAAACAAAATCATGTAAACAATAGAAAAGCCATTTTTAGGTACTTTATACATCTTCTGATGACACTGACAATTCAACACTATGATTAGCACAGAACATTACTCTGTCTTCCTCATGAATATATGTTTACAGCAACAAATTTTGGCTATGTATTTTCCATGGAAATAACCAGAAGCTATTTCAAATTATTTTTGCATAAGATGTTAAAGTAGTCTGAAAAAAAAATACCTGAAAAACAACAGCAACCTCTCTTGCTATGAGTTATTGATGCTTCGGTGTCTGCCTGCAGTTCAGACATACCCAGACAATATACCATTAATTCTCTTTTTCTAATTGCGTTCACCCTTGAGTCTTTTGTGACTCACAAGTTATGACTACTTTTTAGTTATAGTCTGCTACGATTTTTTGTCAGCCTAAAAGGGCAGGGAGCTGATTCCTTTCACTTATATATCCCCAGTCTTCTACTGAATATATTTAATTTATGGGCACACAGAAAATGGAAAAGCATTAAACTTTTATATATTCATGTAGAAGGTCATTGTTAGCTAAGATAGATAAACTCTGATGGATTACACAGGGTCAAATTATAAACCTGTGCCTGAAACTGATGTAGTGAAGGAGTGGTTTGATACTCACCACTGACTCTTCATCTGAGAAGATCTTACATTGGGTACTCTCAGATGCACAGTCAAAATCAGTTTAATTTGCAGGGGTGATCAGCTTGCAAAGGGCACTGCCTAAATTCCTCCATCTGTATGGTGGGAATAACTGAAATGACTACTTGTTAGGTAGCCTGGGATCAAGTCACCTTGCAACAGGAGTACCTGGTCTCTGGCATACTGCAGCCTTCAGAGAATGATTGAATTTATCTTTCGGATGCCTCAGGCATGATCAGGGCCCCATTAAATATTGCTAAATCCTTCCACCTCCTCATTAGCGCATTGCAAAATATACTTAGGAGGGAATTCTGCCCTAGGGTTGTCCTCCTGCATATCCTGGATGTTCTCAGCAGAATCTTGTGTAAGATGCCTTGCTCTTCCCTGTGCCAGGTGGCAGCTTTGGTGTCACACTGCCTCAGGTTCACTGATAGACAAACACACTGTCCTCTTGATTTCAACCCCATATGCTCTCTTACAGCTCTTGGAAGCCAGCGGAAAAGACATCCATCTGTTAGCAAATGTTGGGAGTATCAACAAAAGTTTTAAATCCCCTAGTCTCAGTTTTTTTCCAGGACTTTGCTGGATTGGAATCTTGCTGCAGTACAAATATAAGTTCAGAAAGCCTAGAGCAGAGGCCTACCACGAAATAGAGCAATCCTCCCAGAGGCAGTTTCTGGGGCTGATCTCATGCTGAAGATTAGATGCATATTCAGCTCCCAGTAAACTGCCCTCCACAACCACCGGCCAACATTCAGGAGCTGAGGCCATGAGCCAAGCTGGTGAGGTGCTGCCCTAACAGATAGAAGCCTTTCTCCAGAGACCTTACAGTTCTAAATGCATTTGCCACAGGAGATAAAAGGGGAACTAATTTAATGCATGTGATCAGGCACCCCTAAGACACTTCTTGCCTTAATTGTATCTGAGCAGGAATAAGCAGAAGCAGAAGGAAAACTCCACTATTATCAGCACAGTTTGACACTCCCAATGCATTAGTGCATGAAATGATCTGGTGACAAAGTAAGGCTTGAATTACTCTTGAAAAGCTTTTGCAACAAATGCTAAGATGCTTCCATCTCAAAGGTGACCTGAGATTGTTAACATTTTGCAAAGAGAAACTCATAAATGACGATGAGGTTTACAATGCAATTATTAGAAATGCTTCAAACAATCAAGTTAAAACACTCAGCACAACTGGTTTCAAATGGATCTTTTAATTTCAGCAAGGGCCCTGTGGCAACAGAGCTGGCTGGGTACCAGCCCCAGCAGCAAACATCTCCACAGGAGCCCTCTGCTTGTGCAGAGCAGCACAGCTTCCCCACTGAGCCCAGCAGCTCTTGCGAGTCCTTCAGCAATACCCAGCTTCCTGACCCTTCCCAGCATCCCTGCTCTGAACTGCATACTGTCCAGCTGTGGTGCTCTCAGCACGCCTCATCCCTGTGTCCCAATAGTGACATAACTGCACTGCACCACTGCAACCCAAGGTATCATAGGAGTGGAGTGCTGGCACTCTGCTCTGGGCAGTGAACAACAGAGCAGCACACATCTGTCAGGTCTGCTGGCAACAGCACACGCTAGGACTGCTGTACTCCGGATTAGGGCTTCAGTGTCTCCACGGGATTTTAAATAGCTTTTATTGCCAGACTCTTATTATGCCCACCAAAGCCAGTGATTTGTTTAATTTAGAACAGATTTACTCAGAGATGTTTACCCACAGAGTGTCCCAATCTGGAGGCACAGAAAAGGAGGTCGCTTATAATTTATTTTCTTCTTTTTCTCCTTATTTGCAGCAGTCCTCTACTCAGAATAACTTGGAGTTGTGCACAGAGGCTGATTATCAGAACTATTTGAGGGATTCAGTCACACAGCTGCACAGTTGAGTCACCTTAACCATGTTCTAACAGCCTCAAACACACTATGTTATACTGGACATGGGATTTTGGATGTTAGATGAGAAAATGGAAGAGAGCAATCCAACAGAAGTATGACTTGAGTAAGGCAACGAAGAGCAACTGGCTGTGAGGTAGTGCTATGAATTGTCCTGCAGATGAAGGATCTCCTTGGCCAGAGAAAATAAAATGGCACAGAGTGTACCAGGCTCTCGAAAATTCTTGAGGAAGTGTGCACCATGACAGCAGATCAGCTTTTAAAAATACACTGTACTTTTCACTTGTGCACTTTTACGTTTTCCAGTTTCCCATAGCTGGAAGCACCCAAGGATGACACAGTGCTTTCTGAAGATCTGTTTTGACCTGAAGGAGCTGAGAGACCCAGGGCTGAGAAGATTTCCTTATTAAGCTGAAATGAACACAGTGGAGCTACCTTTTCTCACCCCAAACCCAACCTCACAGATTCACCAAATTATTTTGACATGTTTTCTTCACCCTGAGGATTTTAACTTCAAGTGTAACAATACCTTTTTTCTCAGAAATATTGCTGCTTTTCTCTGCAGACTATTGCCAAAATTTGGTGGGGTGGGAGTAGGCAGGGAAGAGCTGACTTCCAAACACTTGAGAATACTGGAATTGTTCAGGCACTGAAGTCAATGCAAGCTGTATCAGCTGATAAGTAGGAGGCTGAAATGTTAAAAGTCTCAGTGCAGCAAGACAATGATTTGAAGAGGCCTTCTATCTTCCGATTACTACTGAGAAAAGATGATATTACAGTGAGCCCTGTTAAGATGTAACATTCCCAGTGGAGAATAATTGATGCTGAGCTAGTGTCAAATTGAAGATCTGAAAGGGGCTAATTACTTTTTCTGCTAGGAAGAACCTTCCATTTTGTCACTGCTTCGATACCTGAGCAACTCCATTAATCTTAGACATCTGAATCCCAGCTCCTATGCTTAGTTTCTGCTGGGTATTGAGGGAAATAGCAAAACCAACCATATCAGGGCTTACAGTAACTTGATTTCTTTAAATCAGCAGGTGTAAAGCTTCTGGACAACTTCTTTAAATTCATTTTTAGGAGCATGCATGTAGAAGAAATTGAGCTCAGCTTTGTCTTGCTCACGGGAAACCATTCCTGGAACTTCTCAGTCCCCTGCCCACAAGCACTTCCACCACAAACACCTCAGCATCCAGGATCTACCAGCAGGTTACCATGCCACGTGGAGCCAACGGAGTTGGACATTCCTTCTCTCCTGGTGAGTGTTGGTGTGAATATGCTGCTGGGGTGGAGAGTAAAGATCCTGTCCTACACTCCCACATGGAGCTGGCAGGGGACTTGCATTGTGTCAAGAATGGGAGCTTGGAGGGAGGCCCTCCTTGCTGGTAGGAAAGTTTCTCCCCTTCTGTCCCACTGCTGTTAGCTCATGACAGGGGGGTTGTGCTATCCCTCCAGACACTACGCATCTCTACGGTTTTCTATTTGCTCCTGGCTCCCAGACTAAAAGATCTTCATCTTAGCCTGTAAATCTTGAAGTGCCTAGAAAAGTAAGTGCTGAAGTTCTCCGAGAGGCAGATTCAAGAGAAAGCATCATGTAAAAGTAAGGGAGATCGGCATAGTGCCTACAACAGCTCCACACTTTTCCAGTAATCTTCTCTTATTTGGTGTTCACTCTCCTCTTGAGTGCTTCTTGATGGTGCTTCCTTGATTACATTGCAAAGAATGAGAGAAAAGCCGGATGAACAGTTTTCAGACAATGTGCCACTCTGCCAAAAGTTTGTCAGACCATTTATTAGCATCAGCAAAGAGGAAACATGTTTAATTGCTAAGAGCCAGGAAGAGGGACGTTAAACATCTTATTGTTCTCCACACCGAAGTGGGAGTACTTGT